TGCCCGCCCAGGGGCTCTCACCAGTGGGGGGCTGCCCGTAGGCCGTGGCGTAGGCCGTCTGTCCGTAGGTGGCCGTGCTCTGGGGCTGGGTGTAGCTGACGTCCGCGGGCTGCCCGTAGGTCCCGTAGCTCTGCTGCCCGTACGTCTGCTCCGGAGGGGACACACAAAGCCAAACCCATCAGTCTGGGAGCACCAAGACAACCGGGAGCCAAACCAACCAGGAGCCAAACCAACCGGGAGCCAAACCAACCGGGAGCCAAGCGGGGCAGGTTTGGGTGCGGTGGGGGATTCCGGCCCGGCTCCGCGGTGAGGTTACAAAGTGGGATTTACCCCTGCAGGACTGAGGGAAGGGAGGCTCTGCCCCCCTCACCACGCACGCCCCTGCCCTGTGCAGAGCAAACTTGGGAGCTCCCAGCTCTTCCCTGCTGCCTGGGCACTGCCAGGGATCCTCCCGGGGTTGTCCTGGAAGGTGGGAGGGAGGCACCAAGGAAAACAAGCCACTGGTAGTGTTGGCTGGAGGAAACCTGCTGAAGGGTTTAATTAAGATATTCTTCATGCCCAGCAGGTGTTTCTTTGCAAAGGAGGAGCTGGTGTGGGCATGGAAGGACGGGATCTGCAGGAATTATCCTGCACTCCCATCCTGGTGTCCCTGCATCCAGCAGTGCCACCCTGCATCCCAGTGCCTTGGCATCCGGCGAGGGATCAGCTCTGGAATCATCCCTTCCCGGGGGTTATTTTCCAACCTAACTCCTGAGGGACTGATGGAAGGACAGGGCCCAGCCCTGCAGTGCCACCAGCTGTCCCGTGCCATGCCCTGCCAGCTCCTGCTCCGGGCACCAGCCTCCTGCCAACCTCCTGCCAACCTCCTGCCCCAGCTCTGCTCCCAGAGCGACACGGGCACGGCCGAAACCTCCACATTCCCACGGGATTCAGACCTCTGGAGCCTGGAGCTGAAACCTTTCGGGGTGTCCAGCCTCCCTGAGCTGGCCAGGAGCAGGAGCAGGAGAGCCTTGACCCACAGGGACAGGGCACTGCCCCTGG